GTTCAAATTACAATCGGCGAACAAACACTGATTCTAATTTCGCAGACAACTATTATAATTGAATTTATAATTATTAATAGCAGTGTTGCTCTGAAAAATACTAAAAATGTTACGCGACAAACACTGATTCTACTGGCCGCATTGCGCGCGGTCACAATCTCTGAAAAGAAACTGTAATTAGTAGGGGAGAGGGAGCGTTTGTTCAGAAAATACTGTTGTTTTTTCAAAACGTATTACATTAATTATTATATTCTAACGATAATGAAAGTAATGATAATTTACAATAATCAAACCAATTGCTATTCATTTTTATCAATGAACAAGTATTATGATAAGGAAATGCAACATTTGTGTAATTTCAAATATTATTTACACATTGTAAGATATCTTTTTATTGTAATAAATACGTATTGTTTTGTTGTAATTGTAATTATTTATTAATATGAATATTTTAAACTCTATTAATATATATTTATTAATATAAATGTTCGTAATATTATATTAATGTTCAAAAATAAAATCAATTTGGAAGAATTTTATAATTATTCTTATGTCTATTACTCTGATTTCATGAATGAAGGTGTCTATTACTCTGATTTCATGAATGTAATAAAGATTATTTTGTAAATTTCTCGCACAGAAAAATTTTATAAATGTACAATAAGACTTGTATTGTAGATTAGATTGGAAAATTATGAATTGTATTTGAACTGCACAGCAAATATATGTTACTATTAATCCAAAAGGAAAAAAATAAAAGTTTACATACGTCTGCCTCTGTTAAAATAATTTAATCGTTATAAAATCTGCATAAAAAACCAGCAAGTTGATCGTCAGTCATTTGTACCGTCCATTTTGAATCAAACTGAGTTAACGGTTATTAATCGTCCGTGACGTTTGTGCTGTAAACCCCTATACCTTCAACCATGTAACCAGCTAATCTGCGCAAAAGAAAAACCAACAGTTTCAAATAAAACATATGATAAACCAATAATTTTTGATAATTAAAGTAATTATATTAAAATAATGTAATAATAAGACTTAAAATAATGTAATAATAAGACTAAATAATGTAATAATAAGACTAAATTTTGTTTAGAAAGCTTGCAATATGAGTCATTAACTCTAACTATCGAATATGCAATCAATGACGAAAATATGCGAAAATATCCTAAAATGATAATTAATAAATAATTAAATAAAGGCATACTAATTAAATGAAGCTGATAGAAATGAAGAAACGATGACAAAGTCGAAATAAAGATGGTACACAATTAATTATGACAGGGTGGCATGACACAACTTCACTCTACGAAATTCAGCAGCGTAATGATCATCCCGCGTAAATAGTTCTCTCGCGAATTACCATTGGTGGAGACATACAATTATTCTACACCAATAGGAGCGCGAGATTTATCTATATTTAAGCGCGCGATAATTTGATTTAATTGAATAATCAAATTGATTAAATTAATGAATAAAGAATATAATTAAAAGCAGTTTTTTAACAGTTGCAAAAAAATAATGAACAAATACCAGTTTGAATATATTATTGAGTATTTGTCTATTATTAAATAAAATAGATTAGTAAAGATATCATTACAGTGGTATTATTTAATAATTCATATTTAAAGATAATAGAATTTTTCTTTAGAATTTAAATAAATTTTTATATTTCGATAATTTTTGATAAACTATTATTTCTACATTACATTTTCATGAATAGTATATATTATTTTTCTATATTTCTATATTTCTATATTTCTTATATTTCTAAAAAAAAGGGGGAAAAAAGATTAAAGCTCTATTTGCGTATGGTATATATAAATTATGAATTATTACAAGAAAATATTAGATTAAACAACGTATATTTCAAAATATATGACATAAAATTCGTAACACAGAGATAATAAGATGCTGTCTATTCTATATCTCGTCTGTGGTAGAAATCTAATCTCACGGTGATGTAACTGTGTCGATTATCCGTCGCGATGATCGTCGTGCTTGATCTTGTAGCCTTGGCAAGATCATTGCCACCGTGACGATGGCGCGAGAAGCGATCGGTGATTACGCGTGCCTCTATTGCGGAATGCCCTGCATTTAATTGTATTTAATAGCGCTCTACTTGTGCGAACATGTCACCACAGAGGGTTTGATTTGATTTATAAAACGATCGGTCAAGGATCATCAGATTAGCATACGATCTCACATTCTTCGTCATCTTAGTACCAGTTTGTTGTATACGATCTTATCGCGTCGTTTTTCATGTTTTGATTTTAATTTTATCCTGTTTGATTACCATGCATGAATCCTTTGAGAAATTCATTTCAATAACTATCGTCACAGTCAAGCACGCGAAACTACTTATGCAATCATATTTTCCTTGCGCTTGCGTCAATTCAGAGTTCAATTAAGAAATCGGGACTCATTGTTTCAAAATGTTCCTTCAACGATAATTGATCGTCGTTATTTCAAAAAATAGTAGACCGAGAAATAGAAAGTTTCACTTTCTATAAATGCACTATGTTTTTTTTATATTCTCGTGCTTGGTAGCATTATCTTAAGTCTTGATAATAATGGACTATAATAAACACTCTAATCAACATACTACTAATCAACATATGCCTTTCAACTACCAGTATACTGATTACAATAGCAAAGGTACAAAATATTTCTGCTTATACGCGCATAAATTCCAGCCTCCTCCACTTACAATTAGAAACATCTTGATAGACGTATTTTGTATGGTGTGCTAAATGACAACGAGGAAACGGATGTTGACGTCACTTTGAGAGGAGTTGGACACACGTGTACTGGCGTACGTTACGTTTACCGTAAATATATTCTGTTTAAGGCTGATGGCTAGATTGTCCATAGTTGACAGTTAGTCTCGAGCTCTCATATCATGCCAGTTAGCTCGAGTTACTCGCGCAACTCGCCTCGTGGAACCGTAATCGAGTTCGTCTACGTCGCCTGCCGACTGATTGCCAATTCAACGCCCCCGCCTAGACGATTTCTCTCTCTCTCTCTCTTTCTGTAGACGAATGTTCGGCAACAAGAAATTACAAGAAAAAGTAGATCATTGTAATACATTAAAGCTGTTCAACTAATTGATATTCCTTATTTTCTTAGCTGATGAATACTCGAGTCTGTCCGTTGAAACACTATTCTTCTTCTTCTGTAAAATATTAAACGAAAATAACTATTAATAAGAATCTATTAATAAAAATCATTTAACTTCTTTGTATTTTTATAATTTATAATAATATATATAAATATAATAAAAATTTACATATGTAATAAAAATATAATAAAAATTGAGTACTAAAAGATAAAAGTAAAGTTCATCTTTGTTGAATCATCCATTTCATGTTTGCACGAGTCTTGTTCCAGATTATTAAAATTAATCTAAAAGCATCCGTGGAACGTTTCCAGAATGAGCAAGACGATATTCAGATGTACACCTGAAATCGGAAATAGATACGGCGGCGCCTGCGCTCCTGGCTCACCTATTTTCATTCCTTTAAAGGTGAATCTGCGTCAGACAAAAAAATTGCTTAACGAATGCTCATCAGAACATTCGCAACCTATTCTAAAATAAGTACCTTTGTTATCATTTTGTATAAGAAGATGTCAGAGGGAACGAAAATATTTTCTAAATAAAAATTTTCTAAGTGTTGACCATTGCTATTAAACCGTAATTTTTCAGAGTACTAAAAGAAGTATCTCCTTTCTTTAATTTCTTATAAAAATAACATGATCAAATATATTGAACGATTAAATTTAAAAAAAAAAAAAAGGGACAAGAAGATATTCTTCCAAGTACTGTACATCAAATTTGTCTTGTTTTTCATAATTTATTAAAAATAGTTCTCGTTCATTCCTTCTTTTAGCATAGTTTTTCTGAATACAATTCGATGAACCGTTGAACATCGCGCACTTTCATCGTTAGAATAAACCCTCTTCGCAGCTCTCGACCGCGGATCGAAATGGATTTAAAACGTAGGCCAGGCCAATCTGGCTGCACACCTTGCGCGCACGCGCGCTTCAATAACCTACTCCTGTCGCAAGGAGCGCGGCTTACCTGTCGTAGTTGCAGAAAAATGTTTTAGTAAGGTTGTAGCATCGTTCGGTTTTCGTCGTGGACGATCTCTTTAAGCTTCGATTCATGAAGTAAAACAACTGAAGTGTGAAAAGTGCAAATAAACGCATCGCGAAATGTCATCGATGTGCAGTCCCGTCAATCCAGGCTTGACGTATGATAACTCGATTTCATTATCACCATTGTAAAGAAAGAAATTCGTAAATATGTACGAGAGTTTGGCAATAATAATCGAAGAAGGGTAAATGCCCCTTTGAGAAAGGGATAGTTTTCCTTGAATTATTTTCGCAATAAAAGAGCTTCTGAGAAAGGAACCGTTCGTCGATTCTGTCAGCTTTCTTTCTCCATAACCGAGTCGTCCAAAGAACGTAGACAACGATCCTGAAAGTATATAAAATTAAACTGCGAAGAGAATTGCAAGGAAAAAGAAAGAGGGGCGTCTGCGCTCGATACTAACCTGCCGCGATAGGACGCGAGTACGGAAGTTCTCGAAACCCTTTCCACATCTGGCAAGAACCACCTACTGAAGGTACAAATTTGTATAATAATAGAAAGCTATTATAATTGTAAACAAATTCAACGAGAAACGTCAATATTACACATCTACAATCAACCGTAACGAAGAGCGATAATTAATATAAAAACTATCGACATCATTATCAACGGCGATAAATCACGAAAGTAAACAAGTAATTAACAATAAAATAAAATTAATCTAAGGAGAAATGTTAGAAAGTAGACCAAGGTTTTCACCCACCGATGTATTGTGGTTGAAGTCAATATCGAAGAGGGACGTGAGAAATTCGTTTAACAACATACTCCACGGGATTCTCGTCCCTCTGAATCCTCTCAAAGCTATTGAGGTAGAATTATGCAGCAGGATCGCTGAAAAGAGAGGATGCAGGTTGGAGAAGTGTCGTTGAACCGGATTCACTCTGGTTGTTCGACTTGGTGTTATCGTCGCCATCGAGGTCGTGAGATTCAGGAAAGACCTGGCTGGGTCCAGGATTATCCGCAGGATGTTGGCGGAAATGGTTCGACTCTCATACCAGCACCGGGCGTTCTACTGCTATGTCATTCTCAGCGTGTGGATCTTCCTTCTTGTTGCTGGTAATTGAAAAAAATTTACATTTACTCCTTTTTGTTCCGCATACATCCTGGCTGCTTTGTGAATTTCTGTAAAAAAATGTAATTTGTTTTATTATCATATTTGCTCTTTTTTTCTCTCTTTTAAGCGTATAACATCGTACATATTTCTTTAGCACTCTGATATCTATTATTTTATCGTAACGCCAGCGTTACGGAAATAAATACACGTACAATGTGATTAACTGACGCATACACGATTATCGACTTCGTTGATCTACTGTAAGCCGTGTATGTAAACACGGTAAAGAACCCTTTACTATCTGATCTCTTTCTTCTTATTTCTTTTCATAACAAACGAATTGAATGCCAACAAAAGTGTTTATACACGTAAATTCTAAAACAATGTAAATAATATTGTATTTGTTAAATTTTATAGGAATGTACAAGTACATTGGCATAGATGAAAAGAGCTCGATGCAAACCAGAGTTTTAGGAAACGACATCTCCATCAAAGAGTTCCCCAGAAACTTGAAAGCTGATATGAAAACCAAAAAGATATTCAGATTTTGTAATCCTCCGAGTGAAATTACAGCAGAAACAGAAGGTGTGTTGAGCGAAATGTTCCTACAATTATTAAGTAATCAATGAAATTGACCAATGAAACCAATGATACGATCATACGGTTCTTCCACATTTAGGAAAGCTGGATGGAAATTTAACACTGGGAGGGATTTTAGTATTTGTTCGACACGGAGACAGGGGCCCCTTGGCGCACATTCGTAATATAAGCATAGTAAACTGCGGAGGAGACTTTAGTTCCATACCTGAATTAGAAACTTTGTACCAGAACTATGTAAACTTCTTGCAAAACGTCTCCAGCTATTCCAGAACTGCCTGGGCACAATTCCTCGGGCCGTTTCATGGTTTCCCTATGTTGCCCAGTAACTCTAAAGATTGCAGAATCGGTCAACTGACTACACTCGGCATCGGACAGCTACTGAAAACAGGAATCATACTCAGAAACGCTTATTACCACAAACTGAATCTGGGAAACGGCTCCATATCCAGCAGAGACGTTGTTGTGTACAGTACTAGGTATCGGCGAACCGTGCAAAGCGCAGTTGCACTGCTGTATGCCCTGCTGGAGACGGATGGTTTTCAGAATCTGGCAAAAATCACTATGCAAGAAAGTCAGAGCTACGCTTTCTGCAACACAGACTGTGCGTGTCCTGCTGCTGAGAAGTTCTTCAAACAACACCTAAAGGTAATTGGATCCAAACGAGGGTGACATTGACACATTCTTGACAGAGAGGCAATGCCTTGTTGCAGGAGATGTCCGATCACTTGAAGTCTCATCCAGCTGTGGCTGAACTTATACGACAAGCTTCCAACGCAGTCTTCGAGATCCCTGATCAAGCCCAAACGACAGATCCCAACACCCTGAAGGACGCGCTGTTAACGTACATTTGCCACGGTGCTTCCTTGCCTTGCATAGACTTCAACGCTCAGAGGGTCTGCGTAAAAACGGAACACGTGACCGGCTTGTTTACGTATACAGAGTGGGAATCTAAACAAGTGGCGAAGAGCAACAGTCGTAGAAAATACGGATTGCTAAGAGCTTACGGGCTACTTCGAAGTATCGTCTCTTACATGCTGCGAATCATCTCCGAGGCGAGACCGAAAATAGTTCTGTACTCTGGCCACGACAAGACCTTGGAATACCTCGCAACAGCTCTGGGCATCTTCTCTGACAAGTTGGCCATGCCACACTACGCTTCCCGCTTTGTGATCGAGGTCTATCGCATAAATCCAAGGAACGAGAACCACGTGGCCAGTGATTTCTACTTCCGAGTGGTGATCAACGGGAAGGACTTCACCCAGAAGATCCCGTTCTGCAGGAACGCGAATTTCTACAGCATCAGTTACACCGAACGAAACGAGGCAGAAAGAACGCGCCGGGATTCAAAATTGTGTCCGATTGAAACGATCATCAGACAACTTCACGACGACTACTTCGGATCGTTCAACGCGACCAACTTCAAGGATGCTTGTACCAGTCGTAAGCGCGGGTAATTCAAAACGTTATTCGCACAATCTTTTTTTTTCTTTTTGCGAAGATCCTCGATCGAACACAGTCGTTTATTCGAACGTCTTCGACGACAAGGGAAATCGGAGATATGAAAACGAGCTCTGCGAGTTCTCATAAATCGGCAACAAAATGCAACGCGATTGTACGCAATTCGAATTTTTCCGTACGAACTCTTAAACGTTTTCACGTTTTGCGAAGAAAGTATTAAAATTTACGAAAACGAATCGTAATATACACTCATCGAGTTTCTTTTATCGTATTTTAAAAGATCGATGCTTTACTACGGAAATCCTGAAGTATAAAATATAAAAAGAAAAAAAAAAATGATAGTAAAATTTGCACCATTTAGATAACTGTCTTCGAACGAATAAGAAAATGGGAGCCTTACATTCTTAGATTATGTTTTACAAAATCGAATGTAGCTTTAAATACATATACGTATCTACATATAAAGCTAGATGATCGCCATATATTTTATCACACGTCTCACTTGTATATATGTAAATAACTTTTAACAAGCGAAAGTTGTGTTTAGCGTTTTCAGTGTTGTTAAGGAAATTATAGATATCCTATATAATTCCCTATTGTCTTTGCCATTGTTAATTAGTATTATTTCCCTGTTAATATATAATTAGTTCTCGTTACATTTATAATGGACCAGAATTCTCGTATAAGAATGATTATATTAAAGTGCTGTCGAATTCACGTATCTCTCTACTTAACAAAAGAATTGCACAGTTCAAAACTAGCATTGCAAAGCTGTACAAATTGATATTTATCAAGGAAAAGAAAAGATATACGAGACAATGAGATGTCAAATTAAATTATAGACACTTTCTTTTGTTAAAATACATACTAAACATGAACTTACTACCAACAGATGATTCATTAATCAATTCCTATCAACGATCTGGAAAAAAGACATCCTATGTTTTATTCGCAATATAAAAACGTACAGATCATCATCAACAAATAAATACTAGAACACTTATTTAAATATACAAGGCACAGGTTTGTATCTTTACAGTAATAGTAATAGCTATCACTATCAATAACTTTGGTAAAACACAAAATATAAGAATTAATATAACATCTGTTTTGTTCAATCTCTTAAAAATTCTTACGAGTATTCATACATAATAGTATTGAAATTATAGCACACATGGTACATCATTCTCTGTAACTGGTGTAAAAATCAACCTAGTAATTGGTGTAAAAATTTAACACGTGTTCCACGTATGTGTTTCTACTCTCTACAATTTTATATACAGTCTGTAGAAAAAATACAGCTGAGAGAAGCTCAAAATTTTCAATGTCTTTTCTGATAAAAATGCCCAGTTTCAAACGTTTTCGATCGGCGCAACAATCGAAAACAGCAATCCCATGCGGATCATGCAACAATGACCGCATTCAAGAAACAGCGACAGTGATAATCAAATCACAGTCTATGACATTTACAAAACTTAGGTATAGAACGTAATACTATTCTGGAATTTGAAGATTCCCAGCTTCCGCCACTGCTAAACCTAACGTCTGCTGAATGTTCTTCAATCGCTGGAAATACTGTTCAAGCGTAAATCCGTCAATGCCACCATCCCCACTGAAAATCCAATTTAAAATAAGTAAAACATTCATTTTCAAATAATTATATAATTATATGTAACTTACTTTGAAGTAGCCTTCTCTCGGACAGGAGGCGAATGGTTCATAGTGGTTTTCTGAATTGGCAAGTAAGACTGTTCTGTATTCCATACTAACGTCTTTACACCAATTCGTTTACCAGTGTTCCATCTCAAAATTAGCCATTTCATTCTGTGGATACTGACCAAAACGAGCACCGCACTTCTAAAACGAACTCTTGGGGATTTCTTGTTGCGACCTACCACAATGTAGGATCGTTGGTCTTTGGTCAATTGAGCGAGTACGCACAGAGTATTTTCTTCGGACAATTGATAGCTACCAACTATAGTTAACAAGTAGCGTTTCTGATAAATTAGAGCTTTTCGTCTGCTATCTGTTCGCAGGAACTTCCCGTAAAAATGTTGCAACTGTGAAAAAAAACATCGTATCACAAAGTACACAAAATAAATATACACGGAGAAGATGGAAATTACCTTTTCTAGGTGTTCTGGGAACTTGAAGTTTGAAACTTGAGACGTTTTAATTCGTTTTATTTGATCTTCGAGTAATTTAATTCGTTGAATCAACTGCTCCTTCTCTTCCCTTGCTTGTATCAGTTTCTCCTGAAGTACAGTCTTTTCTGTCATGTATTTCTCATTGGTTTCACTAAGATCCTATAAATTACATCAATCATAAAATACAACAATTCACAAGATAATAACAAGGTGGAAGCTTATTATTAAAAATTTATATTATAGGATCGCTACTTTAATCTTTTGCGTATATTTGATAGGTATGTCCTCGTCTGTAAATCTATTCTTTAATTCCTTTGTGAGTTGCAATTCTCTTCTTGTACACGATTTTACTTCTTGCTCTAACTCAGCGATTACATTCTTTAACTTCTTCTCTTCGTCTTTGAAAGCAGACAGTTTTTTAAATAGATCATTTTCTCTTTCTTTAAGAGCCTCTACAGTCTCAGTTAATTTCATTTCCCGTTCAACAGACTCCGTCAATTCCCTCTTTGACTGCTTCATATCAGCCTCCAAATCCATCTATCAAACAATGAATCACATAAAAGAAAAGTCATAGAAATTAGTTGTTATATAAATTAATATATCCTATTATATAAATATATCATATATAAACTAATATATCCTATAATTAATATATACTAACTATCACTTCTCTAGCATTATTGATTTCTCTTCTCAAATTTTTAAGCTCATCATGTTCAGTGCTTTTTTGTTCCTGTCTCTTAGTCTCCGCATCAGACATGATTTTAATCCTCTTTTGTAACCATTCGCATTCTTCCTGTCGCGTTTTTAGTTTTTCTTTGGTACGCCTGAGATCAATTTGCAAATGATCATTGTTTCCATCTATCAACATCAAATTACTTTTTAAATTCTCTTCTTTCTCTAATTCCACTTCCAGTTGCTTCTCACAACGATTCTTCTCCATCTGTAATTTTCTTAAAGTGTCCTTCAGTTCTGCATTTTCTTTTCTTTCCTTTTCGAAGTTTTCCATTAGCGACACATACTTCTTTCTTTCAGTTTCTAAAAGCTCTGTTAATTTTGGCAAGTCATCAGCTTTCTGGGATTCTACGTGATCTTTTATCAAACTTAATTGAATCTCTAAATTCTTGTACTCTTCTCGTAGCAAGGATAATTCATTTCTAAGCTTAGTCTCGTTGTCTAGAGAACTCTTCAACTTACTTTGGAGGAACTCTATCAAGTCTGAATTTTGTATATGTCCAGTCTGCATTGCTTTATACTCTTTTTCAAACTGAATCTTTAATTTTCTAATTAAATTCTTCTCTGAAGATAATTCTTCATCCAGTTTTGTCACTTTCTTCGATTCTTCTGCTAAATCTGATTTCAGCTGGAAGATACGACTTTCGTATTCTGCTATTTGACACTTGAGCATCCCTCTTTCTATCTCTAAATCGTCCTTCAACTTTTTCAATTCTTCATTAATCTTATTAGCCTGAGTCAATTTCAATTCTAGCTCCATGTATCTTCTTTCTTGGAGATCCTGATAAGGAGTTTGTCTTTTTGTCTTTTTCTTATCCTCTGCATCACTTTCTATGGCGTTCATAATCTGTCTATCCAGATGTGCTGACAAATTTAATTCTCTTTGCACCATATCTTCAATATCAGTGTCATCTTGCGATCGTTCTACAAATTTATATAATAAATAATTATTGTATAAATTATAGACAATTTTCAATTTATACAAGAAAAAAATACTTACGTGCTGATGTCTTCTTCAGTGTAAGCAACTCTTTCGTTAGATTATCCACAATATTTCTCAGCTCAGCATTTAATTTCTTTTCATCCTTCAACTTCTTTCTCAAATCCACAACATTTCCAGATTCTTTCATTTTATTCTGTATAGCTTCCAGAGCTCTATGCAAACTTTTGCTATCATCACTCATTTGTCTAATTACTTTATCTTTCTCTTTTAAGTATTCCTGCAGATGATGAATCTCTTGATCCTTTTCATTAGAAGGTGAGGATGTTTCTGAGAAGCTGGTGCGTCTGGCCATTTCCTCCAATCTTCTGATAATCTGATCCCTGTTGTTTAAGCCATCTGTCAGCCTTTGAACTTCATTTTGACATTCCAATAACTCTTGTATAGCCGACTGATATTTTGTCTTGAATTCGTACAACTGTTTGTTCTCATTTTCGATCTCAATATTACGGGTTCGAATAGTTTCGATAGTGATATCTTTCTCGAGAATTGTATCTCTGAAATTCTGCAATTCATTTATTTTTTCCTTAAGCAGGATACTATACTTTCTTGTCTGTTCCAATTCTTGTTCCTTCTCCTCAATATTTCTTTTCACCTTAGTATTCTCTAAATTCAGTTCCATTATAATTTTTTCATTTACTTGCATCTTGTTCCTGTGATCTTGCATCTCTTCATTCTTTAACTTTAGAACGTTTTCCACTTCTAGGAGATCTTTTTTTATTTTATTTTCCGATGCTCGTGATAATTCATATTGGTTCTGATAGAAAGACTTATCTCTGGAAAGTGTCTCTATTACGTCCTTGAATTCCATTTGCGATTCACCATAAAGTTTCTGCAAAGCTATTAAGTCTGTTTCCTTTTTATTCAAAATTGCTGATTTCATGTCTAATTCCTCTTTCACTGCTTGTAATTGATTCTCTAAATTCTCTATTTCCTTCAAAGTATCATTAAGAGAGGTCTGAGTATATTTCATTGAAACATCGTAGGATCTATTTCTATTACTATTACTATTACTATCATCTATACGTTCTCTTCTTGGAGATTCTTGCGTTTGAGTGTACTGTTGTTTTGTCGGCTGAGCAGCATGGTCAGTTTTGTCGCTAGAAAAATTCTCCGACGTAGAAGTTTTCGACTCTAGGCCACTCTGCAATAAGTCTAGAACTCCAGATTGTGGACTAGAAGTTGCAGACAGACTTTGAGAACCAAGATCCAAAGGAGGAACCTGAATTATCTTAGTGCTATCCAATAAAGGCACAGTTGAATCATCTATACTTTTTGCAGCAGGTGGAGTAGAAACTTTGAAAGTAGATACATTAGGCAAATTCTGCGTTATATTGGATCCTCTGATAGCTTCCGCAGTCTCTTCACATTCTGAGTGAATCGATAGAATATCACTCAATGTGCGTGCACTGTTCTTTGTCTCTGTCTGTCGTACTAACTCTCTTAACTGCGTTTCGTCTAGATTCAACGAAGAATACATCTCAAGTTGTTTTTCCTTTTTGGATAATTGTTCTTTCAAGTGATCTATCTCCTCGTTCTTGTCTGCTAGCATACTGTCCAACAACTTTGGTAATTCTGTCTGTGTATGCTCCTGAACACCAACCTTCGCCTGAAGAATCTTTTTTTCTTCTTCAACAATTTCCAGGTGCTCTTTCAACTTCTGAATAGTAGCACTTTCTACTTGCACTACATTTGCAATCTCTGCTTCCTTTTCTTGTAATAATTGATTAACTCTGTCCAGTTGATTCTTCGTATCCTTTAGTTCTAATTCTTTGTCAGCAATATTTCGTTCCAAAGACTGGAATTTGGCATTAGCTTCGTGAAGTTGTAGCTCTAGGCGTGACGTAGCCTGTCTCTGAGCAAATGGGGCGCTTTGTTTATGTTGCTCTAGCCTACCACGCATCGCTTCTATTTGGAACAGCTGCTCGGAAGCCGTTTGTTGAAGAATTTCCTGCTCTGCCTGTAATTCCTCGTTCTGGTTTTTGAGAGCAGTCACTTGCAATTCTAAATCCTTGATTCTTTTGAACGCCACCTCCTCAACTCTGGCATGTTTTAACATTTTTTCCTTGAGTTTAAGTAATTGATCAAGAGGTAACATTGGAGGAGCAGTGGGATCGTCTGGAGTAGGGCATCGTGTGGCGTCTATTTGCTCTCTAATAGAGACATCTTCGCTCGGTTGACTCAAGCTCAAATTAGAACTGCACATGTGTACAGATTCCAGTTCTTTGATTCTTTTGTCTAATTGATTTTGCATATCGCGGAGTTCCGTCTTCATCTGCTTCAATGCCGCAGAGTTCACATTGAATTGTTCAGAACTCAATTTGTGTTTTCTTAGTTCTTCCTATAAATCATATTTAAAAAATTTAATATGTTTTTATTGTGATGATATGAATAATATGAATTTATTGTTAAAATTTTATATGTTATGCTTTTAAAGTTTTTATGTTTTTACAAATTAGAAGTTTTATTAACATTTACCTGCAAGTGAATAATATGTTCATTCAGCTGTTTGCTTTCACTACCCATCTTAACAGCATCCAATTCCTGGACCAATTCATGCTGATTTTTAGTCTGCGCGGCGATCACAGTTTCTAACTGATTGATTTGCAACTGCAATGATTCTTCCTTCTCGGTCTTGATCTGTAGCTGTTGTTCTAAATCTGTGATGATTTCTCTAAGTACCCAAATCTTGTCAATAGCTGCTTTAAGTTCACTCTCGGTTTCAAATTTTTTGGCTTCTGTGTCAGACATAAGAGAGGACATCTCTCTCATCTGAGATTCCAAAACTTCCACCTATATCATATTCAATGTTTTATTACAACTTGGTATAATTTCTCAGTTTATTTAATTGCCAGAACCGTAAACTATTTGCTAGAAAGCATCACCAACATATATACAAAGCATAAATAAAAATTACATGCATAATTTCTTAATTTTTATTAAAATGCATACTTTGTACCTAGTAGAGCCTGGGTCTGAAATAGCATTAAATATATTAATTCTTATAAGTAAATAACCACTCACAGCTGCATTGATGTCAGATGCTTGAAGCACAGGGATGTCTGATGTTGCTTCAGGTGATAATGTGGACTGCTTTGTGCGATACACAGAAAACAAAACCAAAGTGCAGGAAAATTTGTGTTAATAGGTTAGTGATAATGCGTGTTACAAGCTGCTTAATTGCTTCATAATATAGCTGACCATAATTAAATATGACATCTCAAAAGTTATTTATTAATTTGATCAATTTATATGAGACCAGTAGATATCATTAAAAATTCCCACTCCAAGGTAAATAGAAATGATTATTTCAAGAAGTTTCTGAACCTAATTAAAATGTATTGTTTAAGCCGCACCACTTAAAATTTACTACCAAAAAGCAAATGGGTGCGAATATTTCAATTGAAATTGAATATTTATATTAGATTATTATTTTGTTAAATGATAAAATCTGGACTCACCTCAGAAGTAATCCGTTGATCCCGTTCTTTTTCTCGTTCACGCTCTTTAAGTTGTTCCTGCAGAACATGTATTTGTTTCGCTGCTTCATCTCTCTCAGTTTCTCTTTCGCTAGCCTGCTCATCCAGAAATCTGCGAGTTGCTTTTAATTGCTTATCTGCTGCCTCAATCTACACATGTATGTTTCCAATTAATATCAATAAAAAAGTTCTACTTAAAAAACAATGCGTAAAAATTTTGAATAAGATAGAATCGATAGAGACATATACTTTAACAGCCCACGAGTTATAAACTTTAAAAAGTTAATTTTTTTTTTTTAATAATGACAAAATTTAATCAATCATGATCAAAAATGGAATCGAATATGCCTCTGTAACTAAAAAAACAGCTTTATGCAAAATAAATAGTAATAGTAGAAAATAAAGTTCCAAAAAGATTCATGAAAAATAGTTTTTCAAACACATTCATTGTTATTGGATTAATAATACAACCTGGAACGATAAGGAAAAGTTAATTTGCAATGAGTTGCGTGCATGCACAAGAATATATAATAGAAAAAAGCATACTCAATGGAACACACGCCTTGATTAATTATTAGGAAATTACTATTATGTTAATAATGATGGAATGAAATTTAGGAGATTCTTGTGACACAGTATTATATCAGAATTAATAAAGTCCATAGCGTTCTTGTCAATTTATTGTTACATTGCTCGACTTGCGGTTAAAGTTAACTTACGGAACAGCTTTTTTTATAATAGTATTAGTAATTCTATAATTTACCTTTCGGTGACAAACCCTGTGAATGTATGGGGTAGGAGTATGTTCTAAAGGCACCTGCTGGCAAGATAACAGAACGCCAATCAATCTTTTTAAAACTGCATCACGAAGCTATACATTTTTACCGATAGTTCGTTTTTTTTTCTTTCTTTCTGTCTCTTTCATTCTTTACATCTTTTTTTATATAATTCTTTTCCATTAATCTTTGAACACGAGATCATCCATCGACTGAAATACTTGTTAAACGATAATCGAATCTATTAAAAGTTAAATTTTTTATGAAAAAATATTGATGTACGAATAATGAGAATTTGTTTATTATGAGTTTAAAAAGAAAAGAAAAAAATATGTCTTATGCAATGTATGAATAACTAAGCTCATAGATACAGATAAAATAATGGACTACCAAATACAAAACTTCAATATGCAATACACCACAATTATTTCATATATAGCATACCAACTCTGTGTAATGAAAATACATGCAATAGTGCATCCTTTAAGAAAAGTTCGAGTTTACCTGTTGTTGCAGATCTTCCTTCTCCCTTCTTGACTCTTCCATCAATTTTTCACTCAATCTAGACAATTCATCTATCAGTTGCAGCAATTCTGTGCAATCTCCCCCTCCATTTGACAACACGTGCCTCACTGAAAAATAAAACATAATTGCAAACAATATGCACTGAAAATTTCAACACTTTCTTTTTGTACCTTTCTCTTGCAATTGTGAGAAATCTTGCAAAGTGATATCAGTACCCAAATCATAATTCTCTCCGTAACCTTCCGTGATCGTTTCTTTTTTATTTTCTGCGTTAATTAACTTGCTTTGTAGATCTAAAATAGTCATTTTCAAATGATTAATTTGTTCTTGATAGCCAATGACTAAAGTTTCAGTATCATGAAGTTTCAAATTCAGCTCTTCGTTCATTCTATTTAACCAAACAGTATCTTTCAAAGGTGAGCTACGTCTTCCTTCTCTTGTGGATGAAGAAATAGTAAGAATTTCAGAACTTTCAGACTTCAAGCGACGTATACAGTTGTTCAATTCTAGCTTCAATCTTTCTGTTATGCTCTCGTCTTCTTCCAAAATGGTTGGCAAAGTTTCGACGTTGCTATTTATTATAGAAGCTATCTCTGCAGTTTTTGGTGCAAGATGGACTCTTTGCACTCTCATCTCAGAAAAATTCATCAAGTCAGCCTCTTGGTTTTTTCTTGGCTTATCACTCTGCACAGTTTCCTCGTTATTGACACTATCGAATAATTGTCTTCTAATAACTTCAGTAATAAAAGTATTATTAACTTCCTCTTCGCAGATGATGAAATACTTTATCAGTTCTTCAATCAGTGTTTTAAGAGTGATACATGTTTTGCTTAAGGTGTTCCTGTTTAATGGAAATGTTTTATAGATTATAAACAAAAAAAAGGAATGATGGTTTTTAATATTTGTCAAATATATTGTAATATTGTCAAAATATTGGTTTGTAATATTGTCAAAATATAAATACCTTTCTTCAAAAGCTTGATTATCAGTTAACGTGACTTTGTTAGAATCTCGTTTCACACCATAATTCTGCACACACTCTGATTTAATTTTATTAAGTTCCTCCTGATGACGGTCGATCATTCTAGCTACATTTCGAGAATGCTCTTCTTTTAAACGTTGCACTTCCTCCGTGTGAGACTTTTTGAGTAGCTGTATCTCTTTTTTCGCATTGCCAGTCAATTTATCTCGTAATTCCAGTAATTCTGCCGGCCAATTGTCTTCTGCATCCGACTCAACCGTCAGTAGTGCCTGTTAATTAAATTGCAACAATATAAAATGAACGTGTCACTTAGGAAATTAAATTTATTTTAAATACGTTCGATTCAATTTATTGCAGCAATTTATTACGGCGTAAATCGGTGTGTGGCTAAGTCTAAAGCTACCTGAATTTGTTCTTGAAGCGCATTGACAATATCCAACTTAGCTAGCGCGATCTGTTCTTCCAATTGATGGTTGTAGGCCGCTCGCAGTTGCGTTAATTCACCGTTTTCCAACGCACCCGCATCCCATTCTGTTTGACAATACTGCATGCACACATATTGTGGTCACACAATAGCATGTTAGTTACGAGAGAAAGAGTACATACACCATGATTCTACTTAGTTCAAGCTAATGATTCTGTTTTACGGAATTTATAATCTATGACTCTGATTAATTGGAAATTATTGCGAGATCTTTTCAGAACTAGAAAACAATGAGAAAAGTATATACTTTTTCTTCAATTTTTTTTTCGCAAAAATAAAATCATCTAAGGAAAAAATGAACAGATAAACTGAAGAATCATGCGTCTTTCCAAAATTGGACAGAATTATACAAATAAACATAAGAATACATACTACTGAGTGAAACTAAAATGAAACATTCCAAATTTAAATGTGCGACCTAATGTACATAATAAAGTGAATAAAAGAACTCAACTTTTATTAGCGTTTCAAATATTCCTAAACAGGAAGAAGCAGTTGTATTGCACAAAAAGATACTCAACATTTAACACAGAAAAAAAAAAAAAAGAAAAATGATATAAACAAAGTGCATTAGATACGCAAATGAAAAGTGCAGAAAATTTTTGAGTATCTTACTTACCTGATTTATCACATCTCTCAACAAGTTGTGTCTTTCTTTGACTTTACTATTATGAAGTTCCCTTTCATAGGTGGTCTTTTGCTCCTCCAAAGATTTTTCATATTGCAATTTCATCTCCTGCAACTCCTCTATCTTATTTTGCAATTCTTGCTGTAACGTCTTGATGTTTATTTCATATTCCATCTCGGACTTGTAACTACTCAAATTCTGGCCAGTGTGCCTGGATTGTTCGTCCGCTATCGGAGAGCCAAGCCTCGAGCTATGTTCAGACATATTCGCGTTCAAACAATCGCCAGCACCTCCGTAGTACAAACCCTCGGTTATATCAGCTATTTCACTATCATTGTCCGACATTCTTTTCGATTGCTGACTAAATATTTCCTCGGAGTATTGCTTTTCCATCAGTAAACATTTTCGTTCGAAGTACATGCGTAACTCTTCCATTTCCTTCGTGTGTCGCGTTTCCAGTTCGTTTCTGAGATCATCGAGCTCTGTCGTGCTCTCTTTCATGCCCAACAACAACGACTGTACCTTTTCAATCTCAGACGCAGTATCGGCTTTTATAGTGTTTATTTGCTCACTATAAGCTTGCATCACTGCTTCAATCTCTTTACGTAGCGTCTCCTTTTCTGATCTCAATTGATTCACAGAATCTTGCAGCGTATGGACGTTCTCTAACTTCTCCTTCAAAGCCTTATTTTCTTCGTTTTTCTGTTCCTTTTCCACGGTAAGACTTTCTGAAAGGCTGACGTAGTGTTTCAATTTGCTTTTGACCTCTTCATAATCTGCTTGCTGGCACATCAAACATTTCACTTCTTTTAGCAATCGTTCATTCTCTTCCAGTACAAACGTTAACTTTCCTTGCAGCGACGCTGCTCTATTACTAATGTCAAGAGTTTCATTTTTCTCGTCGGACGTTCTATTTGTATCCATGCTTTGATCATGCGTTATGTTTACAGAATCATTGGCAGTCCTATCTGGTTTAAGCTGTTTCACTAAGGCACTGTTGAAGTTGGACGACGCCATAGACACATCGAATTTAGTATCGCTTAATGCTAACGTTTGATTCAACTTCTCCTCTATCTCAGCACACTGGGCCCATGCTATGACTAGTCCGTTCTTTAACTGTTCACCTTCCTCCTCAGATTTCTTTAATTTGTCCGTTAGAACATACATTTTGTGAATGCATTCTGTGAGTTCTGCCTCCTTCTGTTCAAGAGCTATTTTAAGCTTCTTAATTTCCTGTTGATCCACTTCGGTTTTGTACAGCAAATCACTGGCAGTATCTTTCGCACTCTGACTAGACGATTTGTTTTCTTCTTCCAGCGACGAGGTATTCTGACCATTCAAATTGTTCTTCTTTAAGGAACTCAACTCAGATTTGTATTTGTCACACACGTTTTTCATATCCTTGAGTTGCTTCTCGTACGATCTTTTGGTGATATTTGCCTGTTGCAATTCTTCTTTCGACTTGTAAACATCCTTTTCAAGACTTTCAATCCTCTGAGTTAGAAGTTCCTCCAATTCTGCCTTTTCCTCCAGCTTTTGTTTCGTTAATTGATACTGAATCGCCACTTCGTCAAAAGTCTGATACGTGGTCTCGTTCAGCTCGCTTACGGTACTAACATTTATGCCACTAAGTCTGGACAACGATTTTTCTAAATCATAAATTCTATTGCTCAAAGTTCTTTCGTGACACTGGCTATTTTCTATCAACGATTGTGCTGCTATGTATCGTGATGACAGATCATTGAGTTTAAACTTTATATTCTCGTTCTCTCCTTTCAACACAGCAGCATTTGTCAAAGCCTGCTCCAACGAACGTTCAATGCTCTCCTTTGACTCTAGAACCGCAGTCACTGCAATATACTTTGACGTGATGTCTTCCAACTGAAGCTTGTGCAGATTGATCTGTTCACCTAACATCTCTTTTTCCTTCTGATGATCTAGATTCTGAATCTGTTTAGCCTTTTCCATCTGTACTTTAAATTCATCGAATCTTGACTTACACTCGTCCAACTCAGCTTGTGCAGTTTGTTGAGACTCGGAGCGGTTCATTAACTCGAGCTTCAGAGCCTCCACAGTTTTCTTGTAGTGAGACAACTGCGTTTGAAATATAGAGAGTTCTTTTGCGTGACGAGTTTCCAAATCTGGCAATTCCTTGTTCAAGCGATCAGCCAAAGTCTTATTCTCCTCTTTCAGTTGCTTTAGATGTTCTTCGTATTTTTCTTGAATGTTTATTATCTCCTTCTCGTGCTTTGCAGCTTGTTCTTTCAGTTCCTGTTGGTGACGCGCAGTATTTATATTCGTTTCAGTTGTGAACTTCTTTAATATATGCTGCATATCCTGCTTTATCTTGTCTACGCGGGCTTCATACTGCTTCTGTTGCTCCAAAGTCTCGGCGATGTTTAAATTCTTGTCAGCTGCATTTAGATGGATCTGCTCGTTCAAATTATCAATTTGTAACTTGTAATCATTAATTTCGGTTGTTCGAGTCTCTTTCTCCATTTCCAATGTCTGTATGTATTCTTGATTTTGACTCAATTGACTGCTCAACTTTTGTATTATTGATTTTTGATCATTTGTAGTCTTCTCTAAAGTATCAATCTGAAAACCATGAATTCTTCAGCAAAGATGTTTTTACTTCTTAATTACAAGAAATGTAATTTCCTTACCTTTTCTTCCAAACTCTTACTAACTGAAGCACCAGCAAGGTTATCTTTACAAGATATTTCCATAGCATTCATAGCGTTTAACTGACTAACAAGATTATCCCTCGCAGACAGGGCATGTTGCAAAGAAAACATTAGATCTTCTATAAGGATATCTCTTTGATTCACTGCTTTTTCAAACTCTTGCAGCTATTTGATTAAAAATAACATATGACTATCTACATATACTGTGCTTCAAAAAAAAAAAAAAAAAGGAAAACATACTTTTGTATGGTACAAAGACACAACATCTCTGGTGTGTACGCTACTGCTCTGACTTTGTGAAGAATTTGGAGACGAGGTCTCTGCCCTCAAGTGATCGATCTCTGCATTTAAAGCTTCCACTATGGCTTCTTTCCCTTGTAACAACTCCTCCAATTGTGCCACTCTTCCCGCAAGACCTTCTAAGTCCCCATCTGCTTCTCCCTCGCTCATACTGATGCTACTTTGCGTCACATCCCTCGAGGAAATTCCCTCCTGTGTCTGTAATCGATAGAATCAATACTCCAAAGTTCACAGGCATGAACAATGAAACAAATAGATTGAAATCTCTATATCCTTACATAAGACTTTCTGTGCCCGATGGATTTGTCATTACGGAATGACTCTTCATCCGATATCTCGTCCATTTGACTGTGACTTGCATCTTGAGCTTTGGTAGCTTTTTCTGCCTTGAATCTCTCCAGCTGACGCAACAAACAAAAGAGTGGAAAATTTAATTTTCATACAATTTTTTATTGAAAGAAGTTTCTCAAATGCTCTAAATTTATCACATCGCGTTAAATAAATCTCAATGTATTAAACAATACATTGAAAATTGAAAATCTAGCTTATATTTTCCTACCGTGTTTACAAAGAAATTTATCGTTTATCGCACAAAAGACTTTCCTACGGAACCTGAAAGCCATGAAAAGAACCATGAAACCTACCATTTCTCTACCCGCTTCCAACGAGCGTCTCCTGCGTTCGTCATCATCCGTCGCTTTACTCATTTCATAAAAATCCAATCAACAATTAGGTGTTTAACAATCAGTTGACAATCGGCGAATAAACTGGTTTATCAATTATCGAACAATCACATTAAACCCGATCGTCATCCACTGCATTTCAAATCCATGTATTTCTCAAACGTTCACCGTCGTCGAAACGTTCGACCGTTGTCGATTTATAAAAATACGAATTATACGCTACTAGTACAGTACATAGTCACGAATTCTTCGTGAGCTAGATTGGTGATCCAACACCCTGTCGAGCTCTCGTTCTTGAAGATCAGCTTTAAACTATCTTCTTTCTTTCTTTGCAAAGTCTTACCATACTTATTGAAAATTCACTTTGGACACTTTTTCTCTCTTCATTTGAGCTTTCAGTTCTTTGTTGAGAATCAATTTCTCCCTGAAACTCTTCCTCCCTGTTTTCATTAAAATCCTACTTTTATTTGAAAACCGGCTTTACGCTTTGTCTCTCTGTCTCTCTGTCTCTCTCTCTCTCTCTCTCTCTCTCTCTCT